ACAGGATTGTATCATCGGCGTACAATAATACCACAAGTAGAAGCCAAAGAGTTACATAGAAATCTGAAAAGTACTGTAGTTTTACACCCTGACACCCACTATTTACTAAGAATGATTCAAGATCATTTATGAAGAAGGCGAACAACAGAGGGGAGAGGTTATCTCCTTGTTTTACACCAGAGTTACTTGGGGAAAAAGGCGAGATCGTGTTGTTTAGAAGTATCGTTGATTTAATATCCTTGTACATATTTTTAATAAGTGTAAGAAACCTGCCTGAAACTCCCTTAATAAGCATTTTATGCCATAAACCAGCTCTGCAAACAGAATCAAATGCCTGAGAAAAATCAATAAACACACAATATAGTTTTTGTTTTCCATTTTTGAGAACGCCGAATAATAATGACATTACGAAAATATTATCCATAGTTGAAAAATCTTTCCGAAAACCGTCTTGAGCGGGTATTATGGTATTTTCAGATTCCACGAATTTCGTTAGTCTAACATTTAGAATACTACCAAAACAACTAAGAATCGTAGTTTATCAAGAATCAAGGTTTATTTACCGTTTATTCTCCGTGGAGATTTCGACAATACAACCACAAATCACAAAAATAAGATTCTGTCATGAAGTGCCTCATCAACCACTACCGACAACCACACCTGCACCCCCCTACACCCTAACCCCCACCACCACACCCCGCAAACTACACCCACACCCCACAACCCAAACCTTTGATTTTGTTGCATGCGTTCAGCTCACTTGTCCTCTATATGGACATTCCGTCTGCATTCTCAAGTAGGTATAAGCCAGACCTTCCATGAGATGGTCAATAAGTCCTCCCTCAGGTACATTGACTGATCCTCTTTCATCTACCTCTCTGCGTTTCTGCATGCAACATTGTTATTCATTTATTCTTCTAAATATTATTAAGGAGACATCCATAGCAACGAAACAAACCTTAAAACATCAATAAATAGATACATAAGATTGTCCTCATAAGTCTTAGATTATTTGAACACAAAGTCGATATAGTTAGTTCTGTGAACCTGGACGTCTGTTAAGCTAGCTAGATTACACATAGTTCTCGTTACCACTAATGAGGGCAACCTATTATCTCTGTCAACAACGTACAGTAACATAAGACAGCTGATCATTAATCGACACATATATTTACACTTGAATTAGGTTCCGCCCACTTATATTGGTGCACATATCCTCATGCAATTAAATCAACATCGACTTGAGCTGCTTCTTTTAATGTTAGAAATTTCGACTTTCCTCACAGGCAATGAGTCCTCCTTCATTCAAGAGTAACAGTTACTGTAATCCACGGCTCAGTTGCATAATGGAGCAAATGTTTTAACTCAGATTTTAATACTCCTGTTCCCATAAGGTTATTCACAAACTAAATGGGCAAAATGGTGAAGTCAAAGTTTCTCAACTTAACGAATATAACTTTTCTATTTGCAATACCTTGAAATTCGACGAGAGAGCCTGAAGTTATTTAGTTTCTCGTGTTTGTGTGAAACCATCTTCCTCTTCTTTATTTAAAGCTTACTTATAGTAGAAGAAGGGGTTTATTTCAAATGTTGTTTTTTATTTTGCCCTATGTGTTTGAAACGAAACTAATATGGCTAAGCCTTGATGAATGTATGTGTGCATGTAAAGTAATTAAATTGCTGTTTTACATTGCGTTTAACGTTTTTCAATTTTAGCCAACAGAGGTACCATGCCACAGTTTCACGTAAACATTAATCATTTTTAAATGAACGTTGCTTATATATTTACTCGGTTTAATGTACATCAACCTCCCGTATATCTCCACACAGCACGGGAAGATACGTAGATGATTTATGGTGATTTGGTTGCAGATTTTCAACCTAAATAGACATACATTTACATTGGCACAGTATTTCTCCAGTTTCAATTTTAGTAATTTGCTGTGGATACGTTAAACCTACAATAATGAAGTACAGACTATTCTCTGGAAGGGTCTGGTCTTCCTAACAACGGATAACGGTCGCCCCAAAGGCCTGGCGCCTCTTTAAGTAAGAGAACGTCTCCCATGCCGAGCCGTTTGTAGATGGTTTAAGTATAGATATTTGTAACTTTAGCATGGGATTAATTCAGATTTATTCTTATAGCATATTGATAATTACAAGTCCCACACTATACTTTACTTGCAGCAGAGTAGAAGTAATATGACGGACATAAAAAAATAACAGTGTTTTCAAACTACCTACCTTGTTTATCACCTCACTGACCTTTCACAAATGACAGTTTCACAAATGTTCATCAATATCTCTCTCTCTCTCTCTCTCTCTCTCTCTCTCTCTCTCTCTCTCTCTCTCTCTCTCTCTCTCTCTCTCTCTCTCTCTCTCTCTCTCTCTCTCTCTCTCTCTCTCTCTCTCTCTCGCACACATACACACGCGCACTCACACACAACCTTTATCAGGTTCATCACCTATCACACATATACGTTTACATCAGGTTCATCACAAGTCACACGCAGACAGGCACTTAAAACACACATTTCGTTTGTATGTATATGTTCGTATGTGTGGTATTTGTAAGTTGTGATGTTGCAGTAGTTGTTGGTCAACATACATAGTACTACGCTGATGATTTCTAAACCAACCTCATTCCCAAACTGTTCTCTTATTGGTGCGAATGAATGATAAGGCTAAAGAAGGAGGTCGTGTTGAGGCAGCGAGGACCAAGCTAGGGTAATGACAATCAACATCCCCACCGCCCCTGCTGCTTCATCTCCCACTCAAATGACGATGGGGTAAATTAGATCATCTGTTTTACTTCGAAATCAAAGCCCGAAGAATATCTTCAATCATGTTCTTTCTATAAGGCCTTCAGAAGTAAGCGTCATTAACGGGTTTTCTTCATAAGACGCTGGCCAGGTAGTAGATTAAACGTTTAGTCTGACCTGATACAACTGATGTCAGGCACACCAACAGATGTCTTTTAGAGAAGTTCAATTAACAACAGAATTTGAATATGATGATAATCCAGAAGCCGATCCAATGATTTGAAGGACCTGCCATAAACCAATGACTAGTTGTGAGATGGAGGGACTTCACTGCAGGTAATTGCGGCAGATTCTATACTCACTGTATGAATGTTTGAAGCATCTCCCATCGATTCCTTCTAATTAATCCTCTGTTCCAGAGGTGACCGGAATAGGGATGCTTTGAGGAAAACGTAGATTCATCTGATCATTAACACCATTTTCTTGGTGTCGTTTACAGGGATGTTTTTGTTGGACCCGTGAAGATTCTGGTTAGAATTGATCTTCAGTACCCCATGCTTGTCGTAAGAGGCGACTAAAGGGATCGGGTGGTCAGGCTCGCTGACTTGGTTGACACATGTCATCGTATCCCATTTGCGTAGATAGATGCTCATGCTGTTGATCACTGGATTGTCTGGTCCAGACTCAATTATTTACATACCTCCGCCATATAGCTGGAATATTGCTGAGTGCGGCGTAAAGGTATACTCACTCCCTATTTTTATTGAGGCAGATTTTGTTTTATAGATTTACTGTAGCGAACACAGGTTAAACACATAGACTATACTGTGATGTTAAGTACACACTGAGATAAAAGCGACAGAACCCTTTTCACATCCATAAGAATTATCTGCAAAGTCGATTCCACGATTTCGACTATATCATGAACACATGTTTATGAATCACTATCGAGTAGTTATGATACCTGAAAGGTGAGCGTGCCGTGGCCCAACGGTGGCATCCGACAAAAATATATGCAAATGCTGGTCAGTTGTGCACATGCAAAACACGTGTTGATATAAGTCAAAATAGGGAATTGCATCGACATCATTCTTGTCACAGATGACCTATCATTCTTGTCACAGATGACCTATCATTCTTGTCACAGATGACCTATCATTCTTGTCACAGATGTCCTATCATTCTTGTCACAGATGACCTATCATTCTTGTCACAGATGTCCTATCATTCTTGTCACTGATGCGTCAACTTAGGCAGCTTTCTTCCACGTTTCTTCCTTGAAACCTTTTGAAAGTTTCACTGAGGTCTTGGTTGTTGCAGCCTTGATCAAGCAGCATCTGAACACAAATCTTATGACGATTTATGAGTTGAAATATGATACAGAAGAGGCGACCACACCGGTCTCCTATATTTTCCAGTTCAGGTATTGTAAATCGGTGGAAGGGAACTGAATAATATTTGACGGTTATTGAACGATATTACATCTTCGAATACCTGAAACATAAGTTGAACCTTTAAGCTAAATTCCCTTGTCGTGACCTTGCCAATCAGAGCACATATTTTAATTTATATACAGATCCACAAGAAGGCGAGTACAATAAGAGCCCGACGGCATACCCTCTTCTTGTCTAAAGGTCTTACCCCTATATTTTACCTTGATCTTATCAACTCCAGACATATTGTCCTGAGCCCCCGGAGACAGATTTGTAACTGTATCTGTGGTGACAGCGGTCAGTAAGAAAGTCTTCTTTGCCATGAGGGGCAGTGGTGTACAGTTGAAAAGTTCATTTGGGACTCAAACAAACATGAGTTTTAATGACATTTCTTGTACTTATTGAAAAACCATGTTCTCAATTCCACATGTATCAAGTTATTTTCGCCCTTCCTTGACTGCATTAAGGATTATGGTTAAATATTAAGACAGGGGTTTGTTAGTACATCTACTGGACCTAGCAATATATCTCCCTTTGTACTGACTTTTATGGAATTTTGGAATCCAGTACAAGAGGGGAACATATATATCTTCCGAGTTTAGAGTCATACCGAAGGTCTATAGTAATGATGCATGGTCATGTCCGATGTCTCTCCCAGTTGACAAACTAGACTTTCCTGTGGCAGTAAATCCAAAGTAACAGATGCCATGATAAAACTACATGGGGACCCCACATATACTTTGACTGTATTACTGAGATCATATTGTGAACTACCATTTTCCAAGTTAAATCGCCATAGTTTTACTATTCACCCTCAGCACCTTCTCTCCAGATGTTTGACACCCTCTCCACACATGGTTCACGACACCTTCTCCACTTGTTTGAGATGCATATTCATGACCAGAACCCATCTCCAGCTGCTTGATATCAGCCCTCCTACACGTGATTTTCAATATGCTTCTCTCTATTTGCTTTGCTTTCTCATCACTAAGATGTGTGACAGTTTTCTCTTCAAGATGCTGTAGGACAGTTTCCTCTTCACTTAGCTGTGTGACGGTTTCCTCTTCACTAAGATGTGTAACGGTTTCCTCTTCACTAAGATGTGTAACGGTTTCCTCTTCACTAAGATGTGTAACGGTTTCCTCTTCACTAAGCTGTAGGACAGTTTCCTCTTCACTTAGCTGTAGGACGGTTTCCTCTTCACTAAGATGTGTAACGGTTTCCTCTTCACTAAGCTGTAGGACAGTTTTCTCTTCACTTAGCTGTGTGACAGTTTCCTCTTCACTAAGATGTGTAACAGTTTCCTCTTCACTAAGCTGTAGGACAGTTTCCTCTTCACTTAGCTGTGTGACGGTTTCCTCTTCACTAAGATGTGTAACGGTTTCCTCTTCACTAAGCTGTGTGACGGTTTCCTCTTCACTAAGCTGTGTAACGGTTTCCACTTCACTGAGCTGTGTGACAGTTTCCTTTTCACTTAGCTGTGTGACAGTTTCCATTTAACTAAGCTGTAGGACAGTTTCCTCTTCACTTAGCTGTGTGACGGTTTCCTCTTCACTAAGATGTGTAACGGTTTCCACTTCACTTAGCTTTGTGACAGTTTCCTCTTCACTAAGCTGTGTGACAGTTTCCTCTTCAGTAAGATGTGTAACGGTTTCCTCTTCACTAAGCTGTGTGACAGTTTCCTCTTCACTAAGCTGTGTGACAGTTTCCTCTTCACTAAGCTGTGTGACAGTTTCCTCTTCACTAAGCTGTGTAACGGTTTCCACTTCACTGAGCTGTGTAACGGTTTCCTCTTCACTAAGCTGTGTGACGGTTTCCACTTCACTGAGCTGTGTGACAGTTTCCTTTTCACTTAGCTGTGTGACAGTTTCCACTTAACTAAGCTGTAGGACAGTTTCCACGTCACTAAGCTGTGTATCGGTTTCCTCTTCACTAAGCTGTATGACAATTTCCTATTCACTTAGCTGTGTGACAGTTTACACTTAACTAAGCTGTGGGACAGTTTCCTCTTCACTAAGCTGTGTGACGGTTTCCACTTCACTTAGCTGTGTGATGGTTTCCACTTCACTAAGATGTGTGACGGTTTCCTCTTCACTTAGCTGTGTGACAGTTTCCACTTCACTAAGCTGTAGGACAGTTTCTCTTTACTAAGCTGTGTGACAGATTCCTCTTCACTAAGCTGTGTAAAGGTTTCCTCTTCACTAAGCTGTGTAACGGTTTCCTCTTCACTAAGCTGTAGGACAGTTTCCTTTTCACTTAGCTGTGTGACAGTTTCCTCTTCACTAAGCTGTAGGACAGTTTCCTCTTCACTAAGCTGTGTAACGGTTTCCACTTCACTAAGCTGTAGGACAGTTTCCTCTTCTCTAAGCTGTGTGACGGTTTCCTCTTCACTAAAATGTGTAACGGTATCCTCATCACTAAGCTGTGTGACAGTTTCCACTTCAGTAAGCTGTGTAACGGTTTCCTCTTCAATAAGCTTTGTAACGGTATCCTCTTCACTAAGCTGTATGACAGTTTCCTCTTCACTAAGCTGTGTGACGGTTTCCTCTTCACTTAGCTGTGTAACAGTTTCCACTTCACTTAGCTGTGTGACAGTTTCCACTTCACTAAGCTGTAGGGCAGTTTCCTCTTCACTAAGCTCTGTGCCGGTTTCCTCTTCACTTAGCTGTGTGACGGTTTCCACTTCACTAAGCTGTAGGACAGTTTCCTCTTCACTAAGCTCTGTGCCAGTTTCCTCTTCACTAAGCTGTGTAACGGTTTCCTCTTCACTAAGCTGTGTGACGGTTTCCACTTCACTGAGCTCTGTGCCAGTTTCCTTTTCACTTAGCTGTGTGACAGTGTACACTTAACTAAGCTGTAGGACAGTTTCCTTTTCACTAAGCTGTGTATCGGTTTCCTCTTCACTAAGCTGTATGACAATTTCCTTTTCACTTAGCTGTGTGACAGTTTCCACTTAACTAAGCTGTAGGACAGTTTCCTCTTCACTAAGCTGTGTAACGGTTTCCACTTCACTTAGCTGCGTGACTGTTTTCTCTTCACTAAGCTGTACGACAGTTTCCTCTTCACTAAGCTGTGTGACAGATTCCTCTTTACTAAGCTGTGTAACGGTTTCCTCTTCACTAAGCTGTGTGCCAGTTTCCTCTTCACTAAGCTGTAGGACAGTTTCCTTTTCACTTAGCTGTGTAACGGTTTCCACTTCACTAAGCTGTAGGACAGTTTCCTCTTCTCTAAGCTCTGTGACAGTTTCCACTTCAGTAAGCTGTGTAAGCTGTGTAACGGTTTCCTCTTCAATAAGCTTTGTAACGGTATCCTCTTCACTAAGCTGTATGACAGTTTCCTCTTCACTAAGCTCTGTGCCGGTTTCCTCTTCACTTAGCTGTGTGACGGTTTCCACTTCCACTTAGCTGTGTGACAGTTTCCTCTTCACTAAGCTCTGTGCCAGTTTCCTCTTCACTAAGCTGTGTGACGGTTTCCTCTTCACTTTTAGCTCTGTGCCAGTTTCCTCTTCACTAAGCTGTGTGACGGTTTCCCTCTTCACTTAGCTCTGTGCCAGTTTCCTCTTCACTAAGCTGTGTAACGGTTTCCTCTTCACTTAAGCTGTGTGACGGTTTCCACTTCACTAGGAGCTCTGTGCCAGTTTCCTTTTTCACTAAGCTGTGTAACGGTGACTAAGCTGTGTACGGTTTCTCCACTAAGCTGCTGTGGACAGTTTCCTTTTCAGCTGTGTACAGTTCTTAACTAAGCTGTGTATCGGTTTCCTCTTCACTAAGCTGTATGACAATTTCCTTTTCACTTAGCTGTGTGACAGTTTCCACTTAACTAAGCTGTAGGACAGTTTCCTCTTCACTAAGCTGTGTAACGGTTTCCACTTCACTTAGCTGCGTGACTGTTTTCTCTTCACTAAGCTGTACGACAGTTTCCTCTTCACTAAGCTGTGTGACAGATTCCTCTTTACTAAGCTGTGTAACGGTTTCCTCTTCACTAAGCTGTGTGCCAGTTTCCTCTTCACTAAGCTGTAGGACAGTTTCCTTTTCACTTAGCTGTGTAACGGTTTCCACTTCACTAAGCTGTAGGACAGTTTCCTCTTCTCTAAGCTCTGTGACAGTTTCCACTTCAGTAAGCTGTGTAACGGTTTCCTCTTCAATAAGCTTTGTAACGGTATCCTCTTCACTAAGCTGTATGACAGTTTCCTCTTCACTAAGCTCTGTGCCGGTTTCCTCTTCACTTAGCTGTGTGACGGTTTCCTCTTCACTAAGCTGTAGGACAGTTTCCTCTTCACTAAGCTCTGTGCCAGTTTCCTCTTCACTAAGCTGTGTGACGGTTTCCTCTTCACTTAGCTCTGTGCCAGTTTCCTCTTCACTAAGCTGTGTGACGGTTTCCTCTTTACTTAGCTCTGTGACGGTTTCCTCTTCACTAAGATGTGTAACGGTATCCTCTTCACTAAGCTGTGTGACAGTTTTCACTTCAGTAAGCTGTGTAACGGTTTCCTCTTCAATAAGCTTTGTAACGGTATCCTCTTCACTAAGCTGTATGACAGTTTCCTCTTCACTAAGCTGTGTGACGGTTTCCTCTTCACTTAGCTGTGTAACAGTTTCCACTTCACTTAGCTGTGTAACAGTTTCCACTTCACTAAGCTGTAGGGCAGTTTCCTCTTCTCTAAGCTCTGTGCCGGTTTCCTCTTCACTTAGCTGTGTGACAGTTTACACTTCACTAAGCTGTAGGGCAGTTTCCTCTTCACTAAGCTCTGTGCCAGTTTCCTCTTCACTAAGCTGTGTGACGGTTTCCTCTTCACTTAGCTGTGTGACAGTTTCCTCTTCACTAAGCTGTAGGACAGTTTCCTCTTCACTAAGCTCTGTGCCAGTTTCCTCTTCACTAAGCTGTAGGACAGTTTCCTCTTCACTAAGCTGTGTGACGGTTTCCTCTTCACTAAGCTGTGTGACGGTTTCCTCTTCACTAAGCTCTGTGCCAGTTTCCTCTTCACTAAGCTGTGTGACGGTTTCCTCTTCACTTAGCTCTGTGCCAGTTTCCTCTTCACTAAGCTGTGTGACGGTTTCCTCTTCACTTAGCTCTGTGACGGTTTCCTCTTCACTAAGATGTGTAACGGTTTCCTCTTCACTAAGCTCTGCTGTGTATGACAGTTTTCACTTCAGTAAGCTGTGTAACGGTTTCCTCTTCACTTAGCTGTGTGACGGTTTCCTCTTCACTTAGCTCTGTTACGGTTTCCTCTTCACTAAGCTGTGTAACGGTTTTCTCTTCACTAAGCTTTGTAACGGTTTCCTCTTCACTTAGCTTTTATGACAGTTTCCTCTTCACTAAGCTGTGTGACGGTTTCCACTTCAGTAAGCTGTGTGACGGTTTCCACTTCACTTAGCTGTGTAACAGTTTCCACTTCACTAAGCTGTAGGACAGTTTCCTCCTAACTAAGCTCTGTGCCAGTTTCCTCTTCACTAAGCTGTAGGACAGTTTCCTCTTCACTATGCTGTGTGACAGTTTCTTCTTCACTAAGCTGTGTGACAGTTTCCTCTTCACTAAGCTGTGTGACGGTTTCCTCTTCACTTAGCTGTGTGACAGTTTCCTCTTCACTAAGCTGTGTGACGGTTTCCTCTTCACTAAGCTGTGTGACAGTTTCCTCTTCACTAAGCTGTGTGACAGTTTCCTGTTCACGGATATTCGTTTCACTTTTTCTGCAAACCACACTCCTCGACAGTAGCTTGTAAATTCTCTCCTCTCCAGCTTCTTACCAAAACACCCTCTCCAGATGAGTGTCAACACCCTCCCTCTCAAAAGCAATAAAACACATTCCAACTTCTGTAATTTCTCGACTGGTGCTTGACAACACCCTCCACTGCAACTGCTTGAGAACACCCTCACCCTTGACTTGTGGTAAAGCTTGACAACGTCAACCTCTGAAATTGTTAGACAAAGCTCTTCACTCTCCTACTATTTGAAAACACCGACTTGGCTTAGTGCCTGACTTCGAACTCATCCAAACATTCCCGTCAACATCCTCCTCTCCTGCACCTGACAGTTTACCCCTTGTAACAGCTGCAGGAAACGCCTATCTCTCCTACTGCCTGACAGCACATTCCTCGCCAAATGCTTTACATCCTTCTCACTAACACCTGCTTGTCAAACTACTTGACATTTTCGTCATCAAGCGCTTGATAACAACCTCCGTTTACGAGTGTTTGGTAACACATCCTTCCCCCAGCTTATAGGCTTAACAACAACATCCTCTTCAACGTCCTGACATATGTCTCCCCACTGCTTGACAGGTGCTGGGCAACAGTCCTGTGAGTAAGATCTTGACTTCCCCTTCCACACCGACTGCTTGACAACACCCGTCCTTCCATCTCTTGCATAACACCCTCCTCACCAAGTGCTTGATAGTACCCACCTTTTCAACAATTAGCGATACTCTTTCTCCAATAAGATGACGACACCCTCTTCTCAAACAGTCTGACAGCTCCCCTGCGTAGCTTTTCTATACCACCCTTCTCTATATGACTTGACTTCCACTCCGACTGTTTGACAGTGCCCTCTTCGCCATTTGCTTCACAGCTTCATTCCAACAACTTGACAACACTCATCTCTCACAGACGCTTCACAACCTTCATCATCACCAACAGATGCTTGACAACATCAACCGAACTGAGTATTTGGCATTCGTTCTTCTCCAGCTGCTTTAAAACATACCCACACAAATCTTATTGACAATCGCTTATCCAAGTGCTTGGCAGCAGTCCCCTGTCCGTGTTAACTAACGTTTTGACAGCTTCCTCGACATCTGTTTGACAGCACTCCGCTATATAAATATCCTAAAATAATTATCCTTCTTCGACTGCTTGATAACACCATACATCATCCCTTTTATATGCTTGACATTGCTCTCCTATCCAATTGATGGCTAACACTCCCTCCTTTCCATCGACTTCAATTGTTTCAGCGCACTCTTCAACTGCTTGGCAACACTCTTCGGGAGATGCCTAGTATACCCTGAGGCAAGAAACAAACCAAACAAACAACGACAAAATGTTTACCAAAAGGCAACTAATTGTAAAATGTAACTAAGGTTATAAACCAGTGACACCCTTGTCGATCTGTTACAGATTACACAGTGATAGGATATCTCTGTACAGATTACACGAGAATGATACGATATCTGTACAGATTACACGGTGATATGAGTATCTGTACAGATTACACAAGTGATACTTACCACGGTGAACCGTTACACGAATGATACGATATCTGTACAGATTACACGGTGATATGATATCGTACACGCCGAATTAAATCTACAAGATTAGCCTGAAGGTGCTCTGAACGCCATGCATCCCCATCATATTTCCACTGTTGACAGCCGGAACCTACAAAACCTCTGTTAAAGTATGGACATGTGACTGAGCACTTCTGTCAGATCTTTGGAACCCCCGGACGTCTATGTCCCCAACAAGGGACAACGCTTCTCCATTTAGTCAACGACAGTAATGGCCGTGCGCCTGTTTAGGGTTGGGAAATGGGATTGGGCTCAGACATTTAGCATAACCCTGCGTCTGGATTATAGCATCCCGCACACAGAGTGAGTGAGGAACTGCCATAAACACAGAGAAAAGCCCCACAAAAAGTATTTTGTTGAAATTATATTATTTATTGAAGTTGGTTCTGAAAATTGGAGTCATTGAGTTGATTTATGCTTTACGCCACTGTTAGCAATATTCCAGCAATATTACGGCGGTGTTCACCTGAAATGGGCTTCACATATTATACCCTGAGCACTGGGAACCCCGGACGTCTATGTCCCCAACAAGGGACAACGCTTCTCCATTTAGGAATGGCCGTGCGCCTGTTTAGGGTTGGGAAATGGGATTGGGCTCAGACATTTAGCATAACCCTGCGTCTGGATTATAGCATCCCGCACACAGAGTGAGTGAGGAACTGCCATAAACACAGAGAAAAGCCCCACAAAAAGTATTTTGTTGAAATTATATTATTTATTGAAGTTGGTTCTGAAAATTGGAGTCATTGAGTTGATTTATGCTTTACGCCACTGTTAGCAATATTCCAGCAATATTACGGCGGTGTTCACCTGAAATGGGCTTCACATATTATACCCACTGGGAATCGAGCCCAGGAGTCCAACCTGAAAGCGAACGATTTCACCACTATGCTACCATGCCGCCCCTGGTTGTTGACGTTTGGGTATAAGGGATAGATGACTGCATGCGATGAGTTAACATATCACAGTGAACATGTTCCAGTATGTACAATCCAAAGAATAACCATGCGTCAAGAGAGCGAGTCAATGAACACACAACTGTGACAGACACCACGAGGGACCATTCCACTGGGTCAGATTGTGTCAGTGACCACAAAAATGTTTGACACCAATTCTCACGAAATGTGCACCAATTGTGTAATTTCTTGTCGTAGGCACTTAAGTTGAATATTTGGGGTTTCTTGGGGTTTACTATGACTTTTATCTCGAAGTTACACGGAGAACCACTTATTCAAACTGATAGCATGTGTACATATGGTGTTTAGTACAATACATACCAGTATAAACACCTCGTTTTGCCCATTTTGCTCTTGTCGCACAATGGGGGTGGTCTAATAAAACCATTCTACTTAATCATTATATACACTGTAGGTCAGGGGAAACTGTATCATGAAGACCTTCGGTGCTTGCAGTATCGAAGGGCATATACCTCTTTGCAACAGCCCATAACAGAAAAAAAATAAAAATATTTGTGTCGACATGTTGTCCCCAATTTTCTGTAATCTTCGATACATTTCTTTTTTTCAATTTAAACATGTACAATGTACAAAGAAACTGTTGAATAATGGTCAAACTAACTGAAAATTGCTCAACAAATTCATTTATAGGAAGTAATTTCATCCCTTACGGATGCTATTCTTTGTCATTGTGTCGAAAGTTACTCAAAGAAAGGGGCGGTGGGGTAGCCTAGTGGTTAAAGCGTTGGCTCGTCACGCCAAAGACCCGGGTTCGATTCCCCACATGGGCACAATGTGTTAAGCCCATTTCTGGTGTCCCCTGCCGTGATATTGCTGGAATATTGCTAAAAGCGGCGTAAAACTAAACTCAGTCAGTACTCAAAGAAAGGTTTGTTTTAAGCCTGTAATCTACGGGACTGCCCTGCTGTCAATATTACACAACCTGCCGATGTCTCCACCCTGTGCATGGAATAGACGACAGACATACATTAACCCCATGGCCTGATTAGAGTCAAGTAACACATGGTTTTAATATGACAAGGTAAAGAAAGTCAAGGTGTAATTTTCGTGATGTAATTTTCGTTACCACATTTAAGACCTTGTATCCAAGTCCTTGTTTTATGGTGGTAAGCATGGCTGGGATGTTTCCCTGTAACAAATGGGAGTTACATCCCTTTGTGAAAATCGCGGTTTAGAGCGCCCATTGCACTTTGACGTCAAGAAGACGACTTTGAAAACGTCAAATGACAGAAGGTGTTATCTGATTGACTGTCGACCAAAGAAAAGGTATGTATACTTGTCAGTGTATATGTGTATACCATCATAGTATGTTGTTCACACATAAATTCCTTCCCTGCTCGTATATTTTGGAAATATTAGACAGTGCAGCAAATACACTGATGGTAACGTGATTACAGACGAGTGGACTTTTGAAACAAACTTACATCCACACTGTTGAAAGAGTATTGATGAAGGTTCCTTGGATGTGATTTCGTTTTGCCCTTTATGCAAAGGGTTTTATGTTTTTCATATATGCGGTATAAAGAGGACATTTATTTACACTAGACAGTGTCTCAAAGTAGTGGTAACGAAGATTACAAATATTGCAGAATTAGATATTTCCTTCTAATTCCGAAGCTATAGAGAAACGTAAATCAATGTTTTCAAGACTGGCAGAGTTGTCTGTTCGACAAAAGAAGTCTGTCATCCAAGATGCCGAGGAATTGTTTAAATGGGGAACGGAGAACCACAAAAGCTGCTCCTATCTGTTCGTCAACAGTGACGAGATTGCTGCTGTCAAGGAGGAACTTCAGGAACTGTCTAAGACCACAGTCCCCTTGAAAGGAACCATGAAGATTCATGCAATCATTGGAACATCAAAGGGAAACATAATGGCAAGAACCACATCTTGCTACTGTTCCATGTGTCCGGATGGTAATTACCACACTGATTGGTTGCCCTCCTCTATCTTGAAGCCCACTACTCCTCGACCGGATGTTGTTACACCAGAGCCTTGTGTAGAACCTTCAGTAGAACCACCGGTAGAACGTACAGCAGAATCGTCGACAGAATCCTCATCAGAACATCCAGCAGATCTGGAACACATTGATCCTGAGCAGAAGCAAGCTCCTGCTACACATCAACCCCGCATAGTCGTACCTACCAGTGGTGACTTCATTGCTGCTGTGTACCAAGGCAATTGGTATCTTGGAGTGGTCAAAGAGGTGGACCCGGATGACAGTGATTGTCATTTCAAATGGCCAAGACGTTCGGATGAAATCTGGGATATTTGAGGATATTCTTTGTACAGTTCAGCCCTCTCAAGCCACTGGTCGTTATCGGCGCGCTTTCAAACTAACAGCGCATGATGAAGCACACATTACCATGGGTTTCAAAAATGTGTTGTAATTTACGACACCATTCCACAAGCAGTTAATTTGACAATTTCAGGATATTTAACAGAGCCATGTAGCTGTTCTTTTCAGTATGATTCGTTAGTTACTTGATTAGACGTTCCTCGTGTTGTCTCGTTGTATTTCAGAAACCTGAAATTTTCGTTACTAATAGTTGTAATCTACAAGACATTTTCAGAATGGTCGACAAATTGTTATCTTCATTATTCTGTATTTGATTCTTAAACAATGTTTCTGTGGCAATGTTGGTATTTAGCCTTATATAAAAGTTTGCTTGGTAGATATATGTAAGCTAGGGCTAATTGAATTGAAAGTGATGTTATCCTTGCACACAAGTTCTTGAGAACACAAGTTATTGTTTTCAAGAAAGCTGTGTCCTATCTCTGATGACAGAACACATACTGACCGTGACTATTCATATCACCTGACTCCCGGCAGTAATGAACAATATAACATCATGTATGTACTTGCTTTCTGCAGAAACTACTGGCATGTGTATGTAATCTATGTGCATAACGTAGATTACATTGTTAAAAAGGAGGGGTCAAGTTTAACCGACCACACAGAATTTACTTTTAGAGTTTGAGTCCTGAAAATTCACATGTTAACTCTTAGGATGGTGTACTTACACCATCTTAATTTAAAAAATAAAATATTGAAGTGGACTTTTCAACAGTTTGTCATACTTGATGGTGCACATTTCG